CAGAGGCACTAAGTCACATCAGGCATTGCCAAATTTCATCGGATAATTATTTTGTTTTCAGGAGAACAATAGTGAACACTGATAAAAACATTTGTGTTCTTGTGTTACCTTTGGTTAATACAGGAAGTGAAACGTTACAAATATTGTGTTAATTTCGGCACAGCTTGCAGTTAATTTAGCGCAGAAAACAATCGAGAGACACGTTCCTCTGATTGCGACGTTGGTATTCCCCACTCGTTTTTTATTAAAATTCTATAAGAAAACCATCCAGCTGACATTTTCATAAGAAAAAATCAACCGACTGGGGTTATTTTGTGTTTCACCTCCCGTATTAACCAGGCTTTAGTGTTGAATTGCTCTTTGTGTAGATTACTTTGAAAACTCCGTAACGAGAGGTGAATCCCCTGAAATTTTCAAAAGAATCTATACAACCGCTCATCGTGGGGAGGGGAGGAGGGGGATATTCGATGAAATTCAGCAATAGTTGATTTGACTTAGTTCTTCTCTGCTTAAGTTGGTCCATTTACGTATTGAGTTATTTTCACATTTACTGCATGGCAACACTGTAATGTCCTAACCCTTCGGGTTTTCCCGGTGAAGCCACAAACTATTACCCTATCACGTCACCTCGAGTAGAGGTCTGCTCTAATGTATTTCATCCTCAAAACCTGTCACCCACCTAGTATCCGGCGTCATGTCGAAATGTGGAGCTCTTCTTTATTTCGACTTTAAAAGAAATGAATTCGTGCCTTATCCTTGAAACACTAAAATATTAAAAGCAAACCAACGGAACTAATATTGTCGGTTTTCTGGATCATCCATTCGATATTCGTCTGGATTTACACTGAAAAAAAAATCTCGGTGTATTTACTAAGAAAAGGGTAAAATTACCAAGAATTCAGGGTTCTATTTGATCCCAGTTTTTTCTTGGTAAAATGGCCATTTATGGAATTGGTAATTTTACCGAGAAATCTCGTCAAAATTATTGAACTTTCTCGGTAATTTTACCGGACCTTGGTAAAAACGCCAATATTTTTTATCGACCGTGGTAGAATCACCGAGATAAAATGGCAAAGTTACCGGGAATTGATTACCAATAAAAGTGGTATTCCAACTGAAAAAAAACAGTAAAAATACCGGTTTTTCGGTGAGCTTACCAGTCTGTCTTGGTAAAATTACCAATAATTCGTAAAAAAAGTGAGATGGTAAAGGTACCAACGGACCTTGGTAAAAACGCCGAGAACTTTTTTTCAGTGTACGTAGAGTACCTGTATAGCGAGAGTATGGACAGATCGCTTCATGGAGGGCTTAGGGCCCAAAAGTGCAGCCACCCTTCTAACCAACTTCTAACGCACAAAATTTCACTGCCAGTCTGTAGATTCCAATTCTAACGAAGATGGCTAAGAAAGTACATAAATGAGCGTTCTTTCACAAAAATAAGTGAATTTATGCAAAAACTAAGTCAAATACGTGCTTTATAAACGATGGTTCGTAACAGTTGTATTAATAAATCGCTCTGGATAATTGAAATTCATAGGTTGGCTGCATTTCTGTGCCCTAACTTTATTCGCGGAGGCATTGGTGAAGGCCTGATGGATTTTCGGAGTTTCACATCTGTCTATACTCTCGCTATACAGGTACTCTAAGTGTACGTATTTTTAAAATCACGGATTTAAGGGTAAACCTGGAAAGAGCAACACCTCAAATCGACAAGAGCAAGGTGAGGGTGGTTTTCTCGCAAGGCTTCCGATTTATTGTTAGCTCAAGCCGGCTACCACCACGAGCTCAGCTTGACTTTTGCACTGTGCTTTCGCTCCGGGGCGTTCCTAGCGTGAAACGAAATTCGCCTCCCCCTCCGCCGGTCGCCCCTCCCCCCCGCCGCCCCTCCATCACGACCCCCCACACCGAGTCGTCTGACGGGAGACGCTTTCGGAAATTTACAGCGCCAAGCCCTCTCAGCTCAAAGGAAATGAGGAAATAAAGTATACGAATGGTGTCATTTGCACGGAAGATCTTCGGCTTTCACGCAGCGCTATAGCCTAAGGCAATATGTACGGAGTCGAGCAAGTGGGTGCGGGAAAGGTGGTGGATTGACATTCAAAAACAAATTTCACACGCCGGAAATAACGCGAGTCTAGTTTAAGAGAATGCCAAGGAGATATGCGAGGTGAATCAAGTTTATCAGTACTAAAAGGAGAAAAAAATACAACGTAAGTCGATCAGCTACATCCAATACCACATCCTCTCTTTTCCAATAAAATCATTTTTAAGACGCTCGATGGATGGGTGAGGTGAGGAAGAGGATTAAGAAGGTCGATGGACCGGAGTCAGGAAGGGGAGTTCAAAGTCCGTTTTTGATTTGCTGTTAGTTGTCGATGAGATATCTTTTTCTATTAATTCTTAATTTACTTTAAGCATTCTTCCGGACGATTTCGACGATTTCGCTGACCGCGAAGCGGCCTTTGACGGCGCGCAGCGCCCCGGGGGCTGGGCCGCGTGGCGGCCAGGGGGCGGACCACCCATTATGTATGATTGTGATTACGGGAAGTACATGTGAATATGATGTGTGACAGGCAGGGTGGGCTCACGTGCGTTCATGTGGGTTCTCGTGGACCCACAAGCGGAATTGGAGGGGACACCAAAAGTGCAAAAACTCAAAAATGCATTTTTATTTAACAAATGCCATTAAGCAATAACAGAGAACTAAATTGTATAGAAAGTGTTTCCGAAATTTGCCCGAGAACCTACATAAAAATCTGATAAATATTAATTGAGAATAAATCCAGATATTGATAAACTGGCGGCTAACAGTTCTCCTATTCGATGCATCATGTCAGCAACAGGTAACATCAAATTTTCGATTCATTGCCTAACTTTTTATTTTCTACAAAGCGAAATAATGGGGGTCAAACCTAACCTAAACATAACCTAACCTAGATGAACACCGCGCTCAGGGCATTTATTTGGAAACGAAGTCACTAGAAGATCATTTCCGAATCATTATCATGAAAATAAGTCTCAAAGCAAGTCGTGTAGTCATTGTTTCCCTCCCTTTTCCTTTGAACATCGTATGAATCGCGTAAGAGCTCGAGAGCTTTTCAAGCGATTTTGTCATTCGAAGTGCAATTACGAAATTGCCTACTGTGTCTTATTCAGGCGCAACATATTCCTACTTTGGTGCAAGCGGCGGAGCGGAGCAGCTACTTGGTGCGGGTATTGAAATGGCACTTGAATTATTTATAAGTCAATTTCTCTAAATGGACATCCGTCTTACTAAAACTCCGATCCTCCGCCTGAGTAACATCGTCCTCTTCACACGACGAGTTGAAAAGAAAGTATAAATGACTATGCCGCATTTTCAGGGCTTCGCGAGGGTTTCAGTACCCCCCCCCCCCCCCCCCCCCCCNCCCGTCAAAAAAAATGAAATAATAATTAGAACGAAGATCAATACATTTTCTCGGCGAAAATTAGACAGAATATTTCATCTTGATTATTTGTGACAGATTAAGACTGAAGAGGTGTTAAGAATTTCTGGCAAAATTCCGTAGAGCGATTGCAGTAGAATTCTTGAATTGAGCCCAAAACTGAATTTTCAGATCTCGGCAGTAAAGAATGTTTTGTGAGCTGTTTGGTTATTGTGGAATAAGATCCCATTTTTGCGAACCTTCCCTATGGTCCCTTTTTTCGATCGTGATCACATTTTTGGATATCTACATATAGACCTCCTGGAAAAGGTTTCTCCTTTATTTTCGCCTATGGTCCTGAGTACAGTTTTTTGGCAAACATAAATCATTATTGTTCACAATCTGAAATTCAAGAGCGCCCCAAAAATTAACGACCTATCCGACAAACCGAGCTCGGAGAGAAATTCATTGACAAGGAGGAATAATTTAACTCCCTCTCTTTCCCTGCCTATTCCTCGCCGATTTAGAATTTGTGGTTGAATGCCAGCTTAAGTTTACTGTGCTAGCTAAATGCACTGGGAGGATTCAAAATGACAGAGCGCGCCACTTCTTCTTTCTTGCCACAAAGGCATTAGAACAAATTTTTGCACACAGGCGTGGGATGTGAGTATCTTTTGTGTTTCATTTTTGATATTGCGATGTGGTGAGCATGGTTTTTAGAGGAACGATTCATGCCAGAGAACCTTTGAATTTAAACGAAGAATTAAAGGCCCTCTTTCCTTTTGAATCCACGCAGTGCAGCCCGCTGTTGTGCCACCCTTGCTACGGGTTGCCAATGAAACGGTGAGTGCTTGGAGAGTCAAAACGCCGTCACATCCGTGCGTATGCAACAATGACATCCATGGAGCCCGAATAGTTGCATCCAGGCGTTTTAATGAAATTCGTCCAGTCTTGCGTTTTAATGGTTCACAACGTTGCCGGTTTCAATTTCAAAATTAATTTTTCCCGGGAAAAGTGACTTCTTGCAGGGTTTCTTTTAAACTCTGTCCGTTTTGCGTTGACACGTGTTTTACAGCCTTAAATCCCTTGGCTGGAATCTTTTAAAAGGTGCAAGCGTCATTTCCAACGATTCTCAATCTTGATCTGCGACTTAAATTCGCAAAGTCGAATAAAATTATCGGAATTCACTAGAAAAATCATGATTTAGCTCGTTTTTGAAAATAAACAATAAAATTGATTTTTGACATGTCTATGTCTTTTTACAACTGCTCCGTTTAAAATTTAGGTTACATCTATTCATAAATTAACTCTTGGTCGAATCGAGTTTTTTAAAACTTGATTTTACATAGCATCTAAAAATTTTTGTATTTTTACTTTTAGATGTTAACAACATTTAAAGTTCCATCCAATAATACATTTTGCCATTTTCAACTCGTTTTTATTTTTAATTATTACTGATACAAAAGGTAAAAGATCAACATCTTTACTCATAATTGTTTTACATACTTCCGTTTCAATTGTTTGTTTGCCCGCTGTGCTGTTACATAACTCTGCAAATTCTCTCGACTAATTCTTATCTGTTGGTTTTGTTTCCAGACTGAACATGGACGAGAGGGATGACAGACGCAAACGTTTTGAAGCCCTGAGACGTGTGGTCGAGACCGTCGCAGCCGCGCATCTCTCGGCGAACTTACTCCGAGGATTCAGTCGAAATGCAGCATCCATCAAGTCCCTCGATGTTCAAACTCACTGCCATTGAAATTCAAACAGTCTAGACATTTTACGCTGCCGAGAATATCATACTAGAGAAGGAAAGCAAGACTCCAGTCACCATGAAGCGAGCTCATAACCGCGCAAAAATGACCTCAACAAAGCCACCACATCGTCCCGCACTGTAACGATCACATGACAAATCATATTTTCTAGGATGTACCACATTTGCCAATTTAAATAATTACAGGCTACCAGGTTTGGTGCACCGACCTCATTTGAATCGAGCAGATTTGGCGCATCGTCCTCATTCGAATCAAACCGATCGGAAAGAGTGCTGCCGCTGCTTTGAATAAGATCCACCACGAAATCACCGACTCGAGAGATCGTGAAATCGGCAATGCAGCAATTAAAATTGGCGCAGTCGAAGCATGGTTGATTTTCTTGTAAGCTCACGGCAAATCTGTTGCGTCTTCGGGAAATACTACTCTTCACGGCTCTCCGAACAAGAGAAAAAGAAAAGCAAATGACGGTTCGAGACACTTGATCGCTCGCGGAATGATTGGTTTTTTGCGTCGGGGACAATTTCCCCCGGGCAAGAATTTGATGAATTAAAGCGAACGGCACACCGCTGTAAACTCCCTCGAACGAACGGTGGACTCCGAGATCAATTTAGACCCTCAAGGGCATGACTCGAGTCTCTCGAGAATGAACCGTGTCCACAGTCGCACTGAAGCCGGTGACAGGCAGCTGAAATGAGGGCCTGAAATTTTTAGACCTCAAATCGATACGCAGCACGACTCAAGAACGATAAAGGTCGGTCCAAGCAGAGCAATATAAAGTTTCCTCAAGCAATATTATTAAGAGCTTCCATGTTGACAGTCAGTTAACTGAAATAAGGGATTAATCTTCCACGGGGATGAAAAGAATCACGACCTTTTCCATCTCCTCCGAAATGATCGCTTAGTGTTTGGCTCAAAGATTAATGTATTTTAAGTATTTTTTCGTGTATAATTTAAATAACGGGTATTGGATTCATCGACTTATATTTTTTGATACGAGAGCAATACGAACCGTCGATTTAATTTGAATAGGTGAAAATATATTTTGTTCCCTCTGCAAATCAATATTTACCTTTGACAGCAAAATCAGCTAATCTAAATACCAATCAGCCTTCTGTGTTTCCGTTTAAATCAGTTAGTCATATAAATCAATAAAATGACTAAGAATTCTCTCGAGATTTAGGAAAGTTTTTTGGAGCAGACCCTACTTGCGTTTTAAAAGTATCGAGAGAAAAATGTAGCTATAATGAAATCCCATAATATAGGTGAAATATCAAAGCGTCTTTCCTGATGAAAGGCGTTTTGTTCTGGTAACGAGACAAACAGTAAAGAGCCCGCCAGTGAGAATAGTCGAGAGCAGTCGGAAATTATTTCACGAAGTTAAGCAGTAATTTCGCTATTTTGAATGTTTAATATCTGAGCGGTCGTTGGAGTGTTGAGACTTACTCTACGAGCCCTGAGGGTACACTTGTTGCATTAGAGTACGAGAGGGATGCCAAGAACAGTTACAGATGCTCCCATTGGAAAGGCATGGGAAGGATGAAAAATGCTCCTACTCTCTGAGGATTCCGTATAAAACTAACTCTCGTTATTACCATAAAGTTCGTGATTTTCGTGTTTTTCAAGCTTCGTAGCAGATTCGACAAAGCTCGATTCACAAAGCATCTACGTGGAATGCAAAATTTTTCAAAATTAACACCGTAAAACTCCTATTCAAGTGTGCTTTAGAAGAAAGAGTTGATGCAACCTCTCTCGGGACCATAGCACTCAAGAATTGAATGAAAGACATTAACATTGCGAGAAAGTAATGGTAAAAATTCGATATTGTAGCACTTTACATCCGAAACAATGAGTTTATTAATCTCGGCGAACACCCGAAGAACAACTTCACAAATCGAAAGCTCTCGAAGAGTCGAATTCTCCAAGTAACCTATGTATTAAAACCGGCCAAGTACTTGACTATCCATGGCATGGCTCGATATAAAAACAATGCATCCTCTCTGCTAGACGTGAAATCTCATATGTAGGAAGATGGCCTTATATTCATTCATGTCTCGTTACAAACCGCAACCAACTCGAGGCGTTTCTCAAGTTATCAAATCCACGCTTCATTCAAGTCTCGAGAAAAAGAAGACACTTAACCCAAGAATAGAAATTTTCACGAGAGCGCAGCCTCTGTCAATTATGAGAATGGAAGTATATATTTTTGATAAAGACCCCTGATGTCTCGGCATACTTTCAAGTACATCGCCTGCCGGGATAACGAAATAAAAACCGAGACTTCAACTAGGGGTTGTGAAGCAACTTCAACTACACGCATGCAATTTTCCTCCCGTTCCCGGAACGGAAGAGTAACTTCCGATTGATGTCCGGTTCATAAAACTAGACAGAGCAACTCGTCCGATTTTCCCCTTATCAACGAAACCGAGGACAACCGCTGTGCGAAGCTCAGAATCGATGCCCCTTCAAAAAGCGACGAAGCAATCCTAATTGCACCAGTGCTCCGTTGCTGCCTATCGGCGGAAGTGAAGGCGGTTTGAGCGTTTGCGATGTACGCGGCGGCGGGAGGTCTGTCGCTGGCGCGACGGCAGGACCGTCGGAACGTGCGGAAGCAGCACCACACGCAAGAGGGCGTGCACCAGAACCTCCAGAAGCGATTCAACCAATTGCAGCATCTCCACGCGCCGGCCTCGACCGCGGACCAGTACTTCCGCCAATCGGAGCAGCACAACGTGCTCGCGCTCAAGGCGGCCGGTCTCGACCCCTCGTCCAGGCTTCCCAGCTACGTGGACCTCAACCGACGGATCACAAGCTTCGGCAGCACCGATATCCTCGAGGTTTGTTCAGAATTTCAAATCTTTGGTAGATCAGGAGATAAATTATCTGTACAACAGCGCCTTGACAGTCATAAGTTTAGCTATAAAAACATGTAAGGAAAGCAAGGACCATAGGCGTAGGTAGGTCATCGGGGTACGGATTAGTTGGAATACCCCCCAGCTCACTGGGGGGTCCGGGGGGCCTCCCCCGGAAAATTTTTGAAATTTTAACTCTATTTGAGCGCATCTCGAGGCACTTGTGGCGCTAATCTTCCTTCAATTTCTGCCTAAAAATCACCCCGTTTTATGCATTTTAAGGTTAAAATACTTTGAAATTGTTGCATTCAACAGGTTATTCTATTCATAGGCATCCTCTCACGGGCCACGGCGACAGAGACTTACCGTTGAAGAAGGTGTTTTTGTACCATCCAGAATTTCTGGGGGGGGGGGCAGATGATACTATTTCCAATTCTGGGGAGGGCCCCCTGCCCCCCCCCTTCCTACGCCTCTGACAAGGACCCTTTACTTTCTACCCAAGTCCAAAGGGCCGTCCAAAAATAACGTGAAGGTCGTATGAACGGACGCGTAAATATCGGACATGTACTTGACGATGGCGTTCAGTACCTATATACGGAAGAATGTTACCATCTCTGTGCCGCTCTCTGATTGGCTTAACAGCTTTAGGCTATCAAATGTAAACAAATCCGACCCAGAGGAACATATACTAGGTATCGGCTGAGGAATGAGTGATAATCAAACTCAAAGGTTAATTTTCGGCAAAAATATCCAACAAAGTTCAATCCGAACTTAATTCGAAGTTGGATATAAAATAATTTCTATATCACAGCCAAAATCACGTCTAGAATTTTGTAGAACTTTGTCGTCGTTTTGTTGGTATACAGTGGGCCAAACTAGGAGCGGAAGGGCTGGGGTTTGTTTACATTGGGCCAACTTTAGGGCTCCATGAATTATACATGAATGAAAAAGAGGAAAAAGTAGAATTTTTGAGCTTTTATTTAGCAGGTAATGCCAAAAAACAAAAATCTTTTACAACAATTCCTGGCAAAGAAAAATGCAAATACTCGAGGCTATCATTGATAGCCGACTAATCAGACGGTGGCACGCTTTTTCCGTAGTAAAAGGGTTGAGACGACGGCAATATACTCTCCCGTATACAGGCACTCTAGAGGGGACAGGGTCAAGCTTAACCGGCGGTATTATATAAGCGGCTAAATCCGGTTACAAATTGTCCAGAGGTCTATTTGGGCGGGAGGATTTGAGTCGATTTTTTTTTTCAAAATGCGAGCATAAATGGCAGGTAGCAAATTATTCGCGGAAAAAATGCAACTTGCCCCTACGCATCATCAAAATTGCAGGCAGGAGAAGAACAATAAAGTGGGCGACATATTATATGTATAATCAGAATCACCCACAAGTATACCCATTAACTTCAACAGTCGTAGCCTGAATCCCACTTACGTTTTTACTTTGTGCGAACAAACCATATTTTGCCTTGAAATTTTTTTAGCTCATTTTTCTTTATGCTCGACGTACAGTTTATTTAATTGTTAAAGATGTTTGCTTAATGTATAATTTTCCCGTAAAAAAATTAAGAAACATGAAATGCAGGCAGGTGGATTTTGATTAAATCCATCCAAACACGTAAGATAAAACGTCAAATTTGAATTTTTTTGCGGGTTTTCCCAGGCAAAAAAGTCTCCACTTTACAGCAATTATGTGTATATTTCAAAATCCAAATGCTCTCAAATAGAGCGTACTCGCACACTTATTTGGAAGGTAGCCACGTCTTCCTGTGAGATTTTTTTTTTTTTTTTTTTCATACATATGCCAAAGAGGGCTGAAAGAGGAAATGTCGAGCGTTCCCTGGCAAAGCTTTAAAATCGATGCCATGATTTCTCTCTCTTTTCTTGTTTCCCCTCTTTCCCTCCCAGTAAACCGCATAAGTATAGGCGATTGAAGGTACGCGCATCCTTACGACCGGAAACTTTGTTGAAAAGACGTATTACATTATTGATCATGAGTCCAGAGCTCCGAGTATTTTTAGTGGTGAATCTACCCAGACCAGGAGTATTTATGGGAACGGGAGCGAAGTCTGAAATTGAGTTTGGTCGTCTGAAACTCAAGTAAGTTTTTCATGCTTTAATGGGGGTTACCGTGTGATTCTCGGAACTTGGTTTGACCATTAACCACGCAGAAAGTGTGGGTGATCACAACAGGAATAAACTGTCTTGTATGAATTTTTCAGGATCGCAATCGAGTTATGCGTTTCTACTTTTCCCTACGAGTGAAAGAAAACTTCTCCGTTTTTTCCCCCGTTCGCTGAAAATATATTAACTGATCTTTCATCCGTAATATAACGTATTTTTGGACTTTGTAAAAAAAAAATAAAAAAAAAAAAAAAAAAAAAAAAAAAAAAAAAAACACAACCCATTGTCAAATATTGCTCTCTTCATCAGATTTTGCGGAAATTTTTGCGGTGCGTGCACTTATCTGGGAAAAAAGACGTATCTAAATTGGAATGTTAAAGAAAGGACCTATCTGTTCCCTGGTAAAAATTGGCGATAGGAGCTGCATTTCAAAATACCATAGGAGTTCTTTTAGCCGACTGACGAAGGCGATAGAAAATTATATACCTAGCTGGCTGTAGAAAGTGGAAAAAATCATACTGCCGGGCTACACGAAGCGATACAAAATTATACAGCCGGGTTGTAGTTCCTGTCGCCGGGCTTTACACTTTATCGCCTGGCTGTTGCTTTTTCTCCATCGGCTATAAAAGGCTATAAGAAATTGTGTAGAAATTCGTGTGTTTTGGAAATCCTTAAGTTTGTACGGAATCACCTTAATATTTACAAAACGCACATTATATTTTCCTTTACTACATATATTTTTTTATTTTCATCAATTAAAATGAGAATAAACCATACAGAGTGTGCAAACATTTCAAAGTCATGAGTTGAAAAACGCCGACTCCACGAGATTAAATATTAGAGCCTAACACAAAGCGGAGCGGCGGCGCACTGACGCCTACAAACCTAACAGGGATACTTCTCGCATTGCGCAATACGTGAATTATCCCTGTTAGGTTTGTAGGCGCTAATGCGCGTTTTACGCTGGCTGCCCACCCGCCGAGCCGCTGCGCACCACGGCGCTTGAAGCAACTATTTCACACCAGAGGTATTGCACAGTATCATACGAAATTGAAGGCGCTCCAACATATTAGGAATGGCGGGCATCCTTCTAAAGTACGGAGCTTTCCTAGCAAAATGAATCAAGATACTACGGCTCAAAAAGAGAGCGGTAGTCCAAAAACTCACTAAGTCCTAGCATCCGTAATTAGTAACGTTTAGCATACACTTTATCGCCAGGCTGTTGCTTACTCGCCATCGGCTATAAAAGGCTATAAGAAATTGTGTTGACAGCTATAGAAGCTATTGGAAATCCTACAGCCGGCTGTAGGTCTATGGTATTTTGGAACACAGATTCTACTGCCAATTTTTACCAGGGTTGAAGACATACATCGGGCGACACGGAACCACTTTTAAAGCAAAAAAACATACCTACTTAGACCTTAGTTTTTGATCAGGTATTCTTTCCACGGCTACTTTTTTCTTTTGTACATTTCTATTGATTTCCATTTTTGAAGGTGTTATTGACCTTTATATTGTTAAAGCAGCCGCAAATAAATATATTAACCTCAATCAACCAAGCATGTCCTTCATAAGCAGTAGTTCAAAGGTTGACGGAGAAAGGCTTGTCTTTAAAGAGTGAGAAATAAAAACTTGAGCGTTAGGGTTTGCAAGTAAAACTGACCCCTTCTAAAAAACGACGCACTCGGGGAAAAAGCTCTTAATAGAGTACCTTTATAGACAGAGTATGGCCATTTCTGTTCCGGTTTTTCATTGGTCGCGAGCAAATAGGCTGACACGATGCTCTTAGGGCCGTAAATAAACAAACAAGATGGCCGTTATCAGCAAGCAAGATTGAGGTTATGCACATCTTACATCCTCCTGTGATAAAGGTGAAAGGCAATTTAACAATGTTTTCATGTGTTTTTCGTGTGCTATTCGTAGATATGCTCGTTTAAATTGTTACTGCCGCTTAATTGAAATTTTTGTCAAATTTAGCTTCTCATCGATGTTACGGTGAGCCGCCATCTTGTTTGTTTATTTACGGCCCTAAGAGCATCATGAAGCCTAAAAACTCGTTGACCAATCAAAAAGCGGAACAGTTTTCCTGTAGTAAAAAGATACGAATGGCCATACTCTGTCTATAAAGGTACTCTAGCTCTTAACAGCGTAAGCTAACTCTTACCAAAACGTGCTACGATGCGTCAATTTGGCCCAGAAATTCTTCATAGCTCCCAATTACACCTTCTAGCGGTATGGAACGCGGAAATTTTCGACCGTTGCCAAGTTACAGCAAAATTCTGGGTTTTTATCTTCACCCCTTCTCGTAATTAGTAAGAGGGATATAATTACAAGAAACTTCTCCCAATTAAACGCGAAGAATGGCTTGTGTCCCCATACACGCAAAGAAAGTTGGCAAGCGGTTGAGTAAATATACGCGCATATCAGCTACCAACTGAAGTCCCGATCAATCGGTGGGGATTCTCGAAGTTGGTATAACAATGTTTTTCTTCCATCGATCAATCCATTATGAATAATAGATTATGGGTGAGGCAGTATTGTAATAGGCTGTTCTATGAAGAAACGCCGTATGAACACCCGGTATTCACCAAACTTTCGATTAAACACGAATTTTCTAGTACTCATATTAATAGCTAAGAGAGATACGTGTGGATTTAGATTCGTAAAGAAACGAATGACAAAAAAAATAAGCTGCCAGATCAAAATCACATAAAACCGGACACCTCGGGGCGTACAAGAACCGACCCCTTCCTCGCGGCGGACAAAATTAAAATTAAAAATTGAAAACCTTTAAATCTACTTTCTCCTTATCCGCCAATACTTAACCTACAAAACGCAACAAAAGCATTGAGT